GGTGTTTGACGACAAACTCAACCATCTACAACACTGTTAGATACCCAAAAAACTCCAGAAGCACGTTTGTAAAACACTCCAGTAAAACTGTGTTGTCTTCCCCTGAAACTGTTACACAAATTGTAGAACTCTGTGTCTGTGTGTGTACTTAACTTTTTCAGCTGGATATTGACTAATAATGCAGAATTGAAACCTAGTCTTGCATGGACTTTGGGTGTTTCCCTTCCTCTTTTTGGTCTTCCAGCTAAACACATCTTTTACAGAAGAAAGCAAGATATTTATTTATTTAATTATTTATAGACTGTCCTGTTCAGTTCAAAGCTGCATAAAGGAGGATCAAAGCCTGGAAAGGGCTTAAGTGGACATCAGCAATCAGAGTACATTAGGTCTTTCTGTGTCTTTGTCCAGACTGAAGTTTCAGCTGTTACATGTACGACAAAAGTTTGTCAGAAACTGTCAAGTAACATTTCATGAGTTAATTTAAGAGCTTTGGTTAATGTAATATGATTTTATGTAGAATCCAGCAATAAAACAAACATTAAAATACATTCTTGAATGTAATACTACTGTTTTATTTGTAAAAAAAAAAAAAGGAAAAAAAAAAAATATATATATATATATATATATATATATATATATATATATATATATAGTTTACAATGTCTAAAACAATGTCTAAAACTTACAAATCACTAGTCACTGCAATTTCATACATATTGTTCAGATTAAGAATATTTTTTTCACCTATATTTTTTTTTCAAGATAATATTTTTCCAAAAATAAGGAATATTGAACGTGTTTTGTGTAGCATAACATGAGGTGTATGAAAGGATGTCTGGATGTTTTATCCTGCAAGGTCACTTTTTTTTTCTTCTTGTTGCAGACGTGGCTTGCCTTCTATGTTGCCAAATCACAGTAGAAAAACATTTCTTTTAAATAATTACAGTTTTATAAAATAATAGTTTTTATGTATAATTGGCTTAAAAATACAGATTTTCAGCAATGAATTTCAATATTTATATAGATTTGGTGCTATTATCCATGCTACTACAGTATTAATATGTGTCATAGTAATGTTTCATTCCACAAAAGATGACAAAGAGATCATCGTATTTGCCAAACAAGCAAACAAAACACAACCTGCAGTGGTTCCCAAAGTGGGGGTAGCAGGACAATTATTGGGTCGCTTTGTGGTTTCCAATTGTAAAATACATTTATTAAAACTATTAGAACAACTATTTTTTATCCATTACCCACAGAAGATAAACAATATTAGTTAATGGTTCTTAAAAACACCAGGGTAAATTTTCAAATACAAATTTGCAATTAAATAGAAAAAAATTAATACAGACCACAACTGAACATTGAGGATGATCTCTGTGGCAGTCTCACCAAAAATAGACTTATGCTAAAACATTGTCCACAAATTTATACAGGCCTACTGTTTTGCGTGCAACATTTGTATATTTATAACTACCTCTGAGGAATGTCGGGGTCACAAGTCACTGGGCTTGCCATACTGGCATTGTTATATTGAGATTCGTGGGCTGAAATGGTTGGGTACCCCAGCTATAAAGGATAGCACTCCACAAGTAGCTTGTTGATAGAGGACATGGCAACACTATAGACAACCAATGAGAAACACCTCAGGTAAAATACTGTGCTCTCATTGGTTCTTGTGAATTTGCATATTTCCTTTTGGGGTTAAAGCCACTCAATGCTATAATAAAATTAGTATTTTTTAACTTCACAAATTATAAAGAACCGATTTATTTTCCTTTAAGATAATAATAAAGTGTACATGTATACATTCCTCAATCGCCATTAATAATACTGAGTAATATAAACTGCTTAAAATGGGTGATATGTGACGAATAAATTGTTGGCAAGTAAACAGGCATTGTAAGCTAACACATTTTCAGGGTATGATGTTAAGGACAATTTTAAAACAATGTTATTAGTAAAGCACTTCCGCAGTGTGCCTATGACCCGCACTGCTGCTTTCCGAGAGAAGAAAGTTGGTTGGCTAGCGAGGAAAACACGTCGCTGTTCCGGAACAACCTTCAGCAGCTGCCCAACAGCATCCTCCTCCAGCTTGCAGAGTAAGACACTTCAAATATACTTTCACATTCGCTTTGCACTTATATTTTACCACCCCAAAACCACCTCCTTTGTCGTCTTCCTGAACCACGTCTAAAAGCGACGATTTTCGATGCAAAACCATCGAGCATCTCTCATATATAGTCAGGAGAAAACATCGCTGTTCAGTGTCTGCAAAAGTACTGACGAAAATACTGCAACAACGCGTGCAAATCCATGTTTAACGATGCTGTTGCGACGACAAACATTCAAACTCGTATTATAAGAAAATAGAGTATACAGCTGATTAACTTCGCCGACAAAAAGAAACAAATTTGACCCTAAGGACGCGATCCGGATCGGGTGGACGTGAGCGCGTGATCGTGCAAGGGCTGATGTGACGTGTCGTAAATGACGGGCTGCGCGCGAACGCAGTTCCTTCACTTTCTTACACACAGCAGGGAAGCATATTTCACGGTTTGGTACAGCACACAGTTTCCTTAAAGCAATAAATGCTCTGTGAGTAAAGGTCGCTGTTTATTCACCATGAGTTACTCGATAGTCAGTGGGAGGAGAGAAAGAGAGAGAGAGTAGGTTGACTTAAAAGCGCGTGAACGGTAGAGGAAAGCGCTCTTCAACAGAATGAGAAAATCGATCAGCTGACCTTCTGTCTTAACACTACTACCGATAAGCTTCGCATACTGAAAGGATTGTATTTGCGTTTCCGTTGTCCCCATGATTTAAGCGGATTTATCAAAAAAACTGGATTATTAATGTTGTGATAATTAAGAGCAATTCATTGAGTTTAAAGGACAGAGACATTAGCAGTATGTCGCTTTACGTTGAAGGTAAGAACTTGCATACATTTAGTTTCTTTAAACTTTATACATGACTTTTATACTCGTTCTTAATTTTAGGTCGATGTCACTGTTATTTAGGGATAAAATAGATCGTATTGCAGCGTGAACAAGCTGTCAGTTGAATTCAGATGAGAGTGAGAGCTGAATGGACCCCTCAGTCTATGCTGTATGATACACTGGGAAAGTTGCTCTAGAAATGTGGCTAGACTGAATTGGAAAGATTGTACCGTGTAGACTGTCAGTCTGTTCTTTGGTTTGGTTTGGCTGTAAGAAGTCTGGTTCTCTGACAGCTATTCATTTGGCCTGACAGTGTCTGTAATTTAAAAAGATTTTATATTGAACTCTATTATAAAGGATGCTTACTGAGTCCTGTGTCTGCTTGTGTCCAACAGTATTTCGGATGTGCAGTCTGATCTAAAAGTATGAGGTCACGTTGAAAATCTTGAATATGACATCTTATTTAAACCTATAAATAAAAAAGAGCTTTACGACTTTGGAATTAAATGAACTATTGTTAAATAAAGTGCCATTCAAAAGTATAAAGTAATTAAGACTTTTATTCTTTTTTTGGGCGGAAAGGGATGCTTGAAGGCGGCTTTATTTGTTAAAAACAGCAACATTGTGAAATGTTATTACAATTTAAAATAACTTGTATAATTAGATATACTTTAAATACTGCAGTAATAGCATCAAAATACATTAGTTTCATCATTCTTCTGAAATAATCATAACAAAATGTTTTGGTGCTCAAGAAATTTTAATTAAACTTAAAAAAAATAAATTTGTAAAAGCTGTGACACATTTTTTCAATGTATGTTTAAAGAACTGAATTTATATTAAATTGAAAAATATTACCACTACTTTTAATCAATTTAATGAATAATTTCTAAATAATATAGTTTTTCTAATAAAAATAAAAGCAAACCTTTGATTGTGTGAGAACATGATTCTGTGCTTTGTATGGGTAAATATCATGTAAGCAAATTTGAACAATTCATGTAGTGACCTCTTACAGTCTGTCAGAAGTTTGTACTACCCCAAGGAATCTTTGCCAATTTTCTTTAAGTCTAAACTTCAGTACTAAAGTAAATAAAGCAAAAGAAGGACATGCAAATATACACTTTCAGTCAATTTCTTATGCCCATAGTATCTGGTGGATTCTCTGTTTGCAGGTGCCCTTTGACCCTTGTAGAACTCGTCTGATGACAGCAGCTTACTGAGAGTTTATGGATGCACTTCACATCATGCATTCTTTGCTGTGAAGAAAAAAGGAACACCTTTCTTCAAACAAACTGCATAGAAGTGAACTGCTCATAGAATCATTAGTAAATGTCATGTAGTATATACATTACTGCTAATGGGGGCACTCTGACAGACTTTAACACTGTTAGAAACTGTCTATATTTACCCCAATGAGCTATTTCTAACTTACCTGAACCTAAAAGTTTCTCTGGCTGGTGAAACCAAATGTAATTAGGATAATGCAGCAGCATTAAAGAGCCTTTATCATGCAGTCAGAATCTAATAAATCCATTAAAACCCATCTTTCAAAAATGATGTACTTAAACGTTCTTTCATATTTGTATATATGAATATGAAAATTAACCCCGCCTCCACTACATCACACCAGCTCTGACCTGCCCCAATTTCTTTCTTCTCTCTTGACTGAAGTAGCAAACACTGCACAATGGCAAGTGGCAATTTTGGAAAAATGATTATATGTATGTCAAATATTGCAGTTTCAAGACTGAATTTAATCAAACGCTGAATGGATTATTGTCTGGAACTGTACAGAGAGCTCTTCTTCTTATGACTTAAAAGCTGTGTGTTGCTGAAAAGTTCTGTTATAATCAGTTAAAAACTATAATGCACAATTAATCTGGGATATTATTATCATATTGGGTGTTGAATGAAATTTACCTTAAACTAGTTAGCCATTGCATTCCAGAAATAGATTGCATCTTTAAATGAGGGTATTCTTGCTTTAGTTTGAGGGTGCCTAAGAACCTGTAAATCCCCCATAACTAGACCTGGCTCTCCACTATTGACATGAATTGAATTTTGGTTTGACTAGGTTATCAAACAGCTAATATGTGGCTAATGTTGCCCAAACCTTATTGCTGATTTCTATCAGCATTCACATTTTCACCCCAGGAAGTCTTTAAATAATGTTTTTATTTATATTAAACTAATTAATTAAGATTTTACCACTATACATTTTTTGTTTTTTGTTTTGTTGTAGACTTTACCAAAAGTCCAGATTAATGTAGCATTGCTAGTAAAATTACCTCTCGCATCACCCCATCATTTCTTCTCAAACGCATGAAGCACAAATCAATATCTCATGTACCTTTATTTATTTATTTAGTGGGTAAATAGCTGTACAAGTGAAATAATGTGCAGTCAGCTGGTCATTAAAGCAAAATAACCCCGGCTCATCCTGTTAGCTGACTGTACATTATCACTGCCTGCTTTATCTCCAGCTCCTCCAAAGAGACTCTATCTGTATAGTGAATAACAGTGTTTGCTTAATGACTAAACAACTGACCAACAGTTCAATAAACTATGAATCAAAGTCAAGATGCTGTAGCTTTACATGTAGGTATGAATAATGTTAATGCTCGTACAACAGGGTTAAAAAAAGTTGCTGCATTAGACGCACAAATACAAATTCTAAGAAATCATGAAGGGTGAAAGGTGACTGTCTTTTAGAGGCAAGGTAATTAATTAAATGGGTGCATGAAGAAGAAATGTAGTCAAACAGGATTGACTCTGGTTCTTAGAGTTCAACCAAGGTAAAATACGTGCTGTTCATGGTGCGTATCTTGTTCCGCCTGTCTTCCCAACTTTTATATCTGCCTAAACTCTCCAATAAATAAAAATATACAAAATAATAGTAATTAAAAATAAAGTAATTCCTCCTCAGAGGAGTAATTAATTTTGAGTAGACCTTATCAAACAGAATTTAGCTTCGTGTTTGTGGTAGAACCGGAAAATTTGAGTCACACCTTAAAGTACAGCCAATCTTAATGGTTGACTTTACTGCAAATTAACCTCAAGCCCAGTGATTGATGTGTGTGGAGTTACACTCAGCAGATTCTCTCGATAACATATCTATGCTTTTATGGTTTGTGGTATATGATTTTTTTCATTGTGGGCCACAATGATCAGGCAAACTACTATTGAAACAGTTTATATTAGCAGACAAAATAAGTATTAAAGGGGACATATTATATGAATTTCACCTTTGCATGCTCTTAGAACATAAAGGGGCATATACAGTACACACTGTAGATATAATAAAAATGATCAGTGAGGTGTTTTGAGCTGAAATTTCAAAGACACATTATGGAAACTTCTGCAACTAATATATGAATGATATTTTTGTTGTTGGGCTATCACCAAACAAACTGTACATGTCTTTGGCTTTATATTATGAGAATTTTCACATTAATAATGCTTGATTTTAACTGCAGGTCTCAGTAAAGAGTTATTGAGCAACTCCAACGGGATGGCTCAGTTTCAGGAAGTGATGCGACAGCAGCTGGAGAGCTCTATGCATGTTGAGCTGGAGAAACTCTTAAGCACAGCCAAAGGTGCAGGTGCTGAGGTAAGATATAAGCTAAAAAACTGAAGAAAAAAAGCTCATTCTACCTTGTTATCATAAGAAAATATATATGTACACTACCTTTTGAAATTTTGGGGTTAATAAGATTTTTTATAATGTTTAGAATAAATTAGATAACTAGAATAAATTCATAACTAGAATAAATTGTAAATGTATTTCTCATAATAATAATAACGATAATAATAACAAACATTTTTAGAAAGAAGGCTACTTGATTATTCTTCTTAAATTTAAATTTAAGACTTCAATTCAATTTAAAACTAAGTAAAAATGGCCTTATGTTCTAATAAACTAATAATTGTTCCATCTGGCTTATGATTTTATTATACTGGAAATCATTTTTAATTATTAAAATGAGCCTTGTTTGCTTTGCGCCACCCCCATGTCATTTATTATCCTTAAACATTAGTGCATATAAAAAAAGGAGAAATCAAGTGATCCCTTAGTATGTGGCATACTGAAGTATCCGAGCAGCAGATGAATGATATGACAGTATGACAGACTAGATTAGATCCTCTGTTGACCTGATGTTGAATTAGCCTCATCATGATGTAGCTTCTCTTTTTTTCTTTGACTTTTCTTCAGCCCCTATGTACCAGGTTCCTCCTCGTCCCCTTTCATCTTCACCCCGTCTTTCATTTTTTAATGAAATTAAATTGTGAGCTAACTTAAGCAGGTTAGATAGTAAACCTCTGAGCTGTTTGGCGTTTCCTCAGCACCAGATGGTAATAATTAGGCTTTGCTGTCATCACAGTGACACATACTGACCGATTGTGCCACCCTCCCTCTCCATACACAGACTCCCATAATCCCACCCATACATTTACTGCCAAATGACGTATCAAATTACACACCCTGCTAGCGCAAATAAAGTATGATAAGGAGGTGGGATGTTATCATGTTTACAGTTCATAGTTGTGCCACGTTTATAGAGACAACCACATGCTTTTGTTTATGATTTATTTCTGATAATAAAATAAATTCATAATAATTATTATTCTTATAAAGCTATGGTATACTTTGATTCTAAAATTCTAAAGTAAAAATTATTATTTTGTTAGCATTTTCTGATTTTACATGCAGTCCTCTATTATATGTATTTTATATATATATTTATTTTACACTCTAATATACATGTATAAATACATTAAATAAAGCAGCATTTGTTTTTTTATATATATATATATATATAAATACCACTAGTAATAGTACAGACTATACTGAAATGTTATGCCATCCCTAAATGCATATTATTTGATATAAACGTGTTAAGTTCTACTTGACATCTACAGTACTTAAGTGTTAACTGCTGTTCTCATCAATCAATATTGCCCCTCCAGCTTCTTTCAAGGTTTATTTATCAACGTTACACTTTGATTAGAGTACAGCATTATTGATGTAACTTTAAATTCTCAGCAGGCACAAGGAGTTTTATGGATTTTCATCAAACAGGTTTTATTTTTAATGATGTGCTCAATGAGAAGCCTGAGTACCCAGCGATCTTTCACAGCAGGGCTTTAATTATTTCAGATGCCTTTAGGAGTTTTAATTGCCAGATTGTACATACCAGGGTTATAAAGTTATGCCTGCAGGTTTTTTAATGCTGAAAATTTTGCATATTTATTTATTTGAAAAGTTAACAAGTAGACTAGAGTAATAGTAATGCAAATCATTGCAGGATAGTGACAACTGATCCTTAGAATAAAATCAAGTCAAATGTAAAATGAAGTAGAAATCCACTCCACAATAGGGCACACCACAATAACTATTACAGTATTTCCTATGCTCTTCCCCAGGTCTCTAAAAAGGATTTTGAAGGCTTCAGGAAGTTATTCCACCGATTTCTCCAAGTCAAGGGACCTTCAGTAGAGTGGCCGAAAATCAACAGGCCCCCTGAGGACTCTGTAAGTTAAACAATTGATCATACGCAAACCTATTTCTTACTCTCACTTTATTCTGTTGTATGTTTTTCTTACTAAATTATGTTTGTCATTTATTATTTTAATGGCATTATATGTTGAATAGAGGGTTAGAATAGTATATGATGTCTGTTTTGTGGGTGCTGTTGTGCAGCAGTTCTCTCGTCCAAAACTAATTTCTCCTAAGATAAACAATAAATATTACCTTAATGCTGACTCACTCATATTTTTCATTGAGCCCAGATTTTGATTGTATAGACTAAAAATATGCAGAGAACGTCAAGCCTTGTATATCTATACACACTTCAGTAATTAAAACAGACGGGCAGCACTCAGAGCCTCTGCTTTGAGTCTCATGTGTGGGCATCAGTATTGCCGAAGGCTCTGGGAATTAGCCAGCAGTGATTAAAAGCTGTCCATATTCCAGCTTGAATGAATTAGCTTGACATTCATTCACTTGTACTTATGTATCCAAATACTTTTGGTCCAGTTAGATTTACGGTATTAGCTTATAGATTTATTCTGTTGAAATGACTTGAATTGATGAATTGATTTAACACTGATTCATTTTTGTAGGCAAGGATGTAGCAAAAAATCTATAACCAAAAGTGTGTCTCAGGACCTTTTACAGCTGGTTTTAGCATGTATTTTCAGTGATCTGATCACAAGGGGCCAACTGAGACTTGTTACAGTTTATTCCACTTGGTATTAACATGCTTTCAGTGCAACATCTATGTACTACTGAGTGAACAAATTCATGTTATGTGATGCAAAGTAGCTTGTTTTAGTGCACTTCCGTACAAAACATCCCATAATGGTCACGTGTTGGGTCAGTCGGTGAAAACTAGATGGTCTTTTGTGGCCATTTGATGAATTTATTGAAATACGTTTTTACACAACCAAAAAAATCTAATCAAATCTGTTTTCAAGTAAATGGAAGTGGTTGAAAGTGGACAAGCTCACAGTGTTTTAGACCCCATTTACACCTGTGCTTAGTGCCATCCACATGTGATCAGATTGAAGAAAAAGAGTATTAATACTAAATATGAATTAACTTTTAATTAGGCTGTGTGTTTGTGTTTCACATAAATAAACCAATGTCAGTCAGCCTCCCTTTGTGTCTGTGATGATTATGCAATGTTCTCTAAGAGCCAAAAACCCACACACAAGCCATTCAGCTCTGTGAGGAACCACGTGCAGGCTGTACTATGAAACTGCCTGTGAAGTGGTTGATACTATAGGTTTAGGCACATAGCCAGCTTATCTGGGCAGGAAATTAAATGCATCACTCCAGAAATTCCTGTTGAGTGTACATACTGTACAGTATAGGACATTTAAGTGAGGCCAAGCTCCTTCCAGACTTTTGCGTGTATACATGGGAATTGAAGGATATTTGGAAAAGATCCAAATGTCAATAGTTTCTATTTCCAATTCTGGTGTATGTTAGTAACTTGCTGTAATATGTTTGGTTTGGGATGACGAACTGAAGGTTTGGCTCTCCGTTCTTGTTCCCTGTAATATCATTGTTCCCTGTAATATCATTGTAAGTTGAGGGTGTGTCATCGTGTGCGTCTTTGGCAAAAACAAATGGATTAATTCCCTGTTAAACATTTCCTGGTTGTATTAAGGCTTATGAGTCCTTGTGTGTTGCCACATGACGTCTGGATCCTGAATCTTTTTACTGCTCCTATTCCCATTTTGTAGAACTGTGATATAAGTGTGAGGCATTTTATAATTTTATTTATTGCAAATAGTAGGTTGCTTAACTGCAAGTGCTAATTTAATGAATTGTTTCCTACATAAAGCCACAAATCAAGTTTCAGTGAAAATAGAAAAGTAATAAAGTAACATGTCTTATGTGTACCGTAGTAATAATAATCACTGTGGTTGTCAGTTTTTATTAATTAGACCCAAGATAAGTACCTGATTGAAATGTTTGTGGTGTAAAAATATCAAGTGATTAGAACTTTAGCCCAGAACTCTTTGCCCAGATTTTGTGTTGAGTTCATCATGACGTTTACTCCATTACTGCCCCACCCAAGCCCACTTCAAAATCCAGATTAACTCAGGCTTTTTTATTGAATCATATTTTAACTAATTTTATTTTTTTCCAAAAAAATACACTAAAATATTTTAAAGAAGGCTAAAAAAGTTAAATTATGAATATTAAAAAAACTGCTTTATAAGACATCTTATCAAGAGACAGAGATTAATGTATGTATGTATTTAAACAGACAATACATGATGCCTAAGCCTCCATAATTAAAGTCAAATAAATAAAACATCCTATTCACAAATCTCTCTTTTAAATTCATATTTTAACAGGAAGCTACACAATATTATATTTGTGCATATACATTAGATTAGTCAGTACTGAAGCCAACAAAAAAACAAATCTAACAAAAAAAAAACTTACCATAACGATCCAAAAACTAGTACAGCCAAATTTATAGAGGAATAACCAACCTACATTATACATGAAGTCACACGGGTTCCTGGTTGCAAAATGAGACCAGTTGCAATAGCTAACACGTCGTGTTGTTTGGTTGGATGCCAAATTCGTAAAATAGAATACGTAACTTTTACTGTACAACACATTGCTTTTAATGCCAACCACAGACATCATTGGCTAAACGGAAGCTGAATCATGTGACAACCTATTTAAAAATTCTGGACTGCAGTTTCCATGTTATATCAAGTAAGTTCACGCTATGCTGAATCATACATATTACTCGTTTTTGATTGCAGCAATGATTTCAGCAAAAACAGTTGAATATGGTGAATTAAACTGCCGACACTGAATGCTTAGAATGAAATGTAAAAATGTATGTTCGCATACCCTACTTTACAGGTGCAGTTCGCTGTGAGAATGCAGTTTTGCTTGTCGATGATTAAGCCAGCCCTTGTACAGTTAAATCTTTTTTCCTTGTGTTTGGCTATGCAGAACGTTGGTTTTTAGCACTATATTTTTGAATCTGGTAATCATGGAACATTTTTTCTTGCACATGACCACATGGAACAAAGTTGTTGGCATCCAAAGACTTGTAGGCCTTTAACTTCTCTCTTGTAAAAACACTTGAAGTTTCAGTGAGATAGTTGTATATTTGGGGCTGGATGCTTGGCCATTTCATCTTATCCAATATCCATTGAGAGGGTGCTATCGCAAATGGACCCGTCAGACAAAAGCCGGTCACTTAACGTTAATTTTGCCGAAAAACTGTGCTTATTATCACTGGGTGACGAGCTGTTTTAACACGCTGAAAGCATTATATAAATAATATATATATATATATATATATATATATATATATATATATATATATATATATATATATATATATATATATATATATATATATAGTAATATTATTTGAGTTTCTAAGACAACAACAAACTCTCTACCACATCGGATGTCATTCCCTCGCTGTAAATGCTAGTGCTCCCATTTTTTTTCTGTAACCTCACTGCGCGTGCATCCTGAATATTAACAAACATGATTAATCGTCTATATGTTATAGAAAATATTATTAAATACAACTTTAAAAAGGGGGAGAAATCAAGAGAAGCAAAAAAATATGTAATATTATATTGTAATATTTTGCTTGATTTTAATTGTATTATCTTTCAATTTTTAAATGTGACTAAAATATTATTTTTAATAAATGTATCTGTTTAATAAATCTGTTTAGTTTAAATTCACCAAAATACATATTCACTGAATATGTATATCTGCTTCTTTCATCCTTTAATAATCAAAATTATAATGTAAAATGTTTTTTTTCCTAAGATAAAATGTCTTATTAATAAAATATAATCATAGTTAATTTGTCGAATAATTAAAAACAAAATGAGTAGATGATGAGGTAGAGTTTTTTTTTGTTAAGATATTTAATATAAGGTAACCTATTTGGCTCCTATTTGGTTTGTGGATGAAATATATGCTAAATTATAATTGTACCTGGGTAAAGATAAATCGAGAATGCTGCACTGGCCCTGAGCCATCATTACAGTTGAGAACTGTTTGTTGACTAAGAATTCCTAAATGCAGGAAATGTCCTGTAACTATTCTGCATAATTTGCATGCATTTATGGGAAAGGTTGTTCTTCCTGTTTGAATGAATCTAATTCTTTCTCCTCTCAATTCGCCACATTTTAAAATGCATCGCACAGATTGATATTCTTAGAGGTAATTTTCAGGTTCAAATGCCTTGTATCACCTCTGTCCTTCAAGTATTCCCATCAGCTTCTATACAAGTTGGAGAAGCTCTTCTAAGGTGCTTGCGCTGCAAACAGACTTGAAATTGTGGCTTTCTGACTGAGCTAATTAAATTCTGGTCTTGTGACTCTGTGGGAGCTCTGAGGTTTTATTTATGCGTGCGTGTGTGTGAACAGATTTTAGTTTTGAGAAACTGGAATGTGGTTGACCTAGAAACAACATTTTAAAAGTCTGATTCATCCTGAGCACCAGGTTGATGGTTATAAATCCTATCATTCATTCATTCATTCATTTTCTTTTTAGTTTAGTCTCTTTATTAATAAAGGGTCGCCACAGCGGAATGAACCGCCAACTTATGCAGCAGATACCCTTCCAGCTCCACCCATCACCGGGAAACACCCATACACTCTCGTTCACACACATACACTACGGACAATTTAACTTACCCAATTTACCTATAGCGCATGTCTTTGGACAGTGGGGGGAATTGGAGCACCCGGAGGAAAGAATATTATCATATTTTTTCTTTTATTTATCAGCAGTTAGGAAGTTATTTCCTGAATGACTGGTGAGTTTATTCAGTCAGTCATGTTTCATTTAGGGCCACAGGGGGTGTGGTTTGGAGCTAGTCTCATGTTTAGTCATATGCCTTTTCGTTGGCATAATAATGACCCCTGAGCTGCATTGTTATTATTTATTAGCCTGCAATTGGCCTGCATTTGGAAGAATATACAGTATGTGTATTCTTGAGTCAATTTGGATTTTAAAAACAAAGGATGAAGGATTTAAATGCTGTTTCAATTAAACACAAAATCAGCTATGCAATTAAACAGGAGCACCTAATTAGAGATTCGAGACATTGGGTCATAATCATGAAACTTGAGCAAAACAAGTTTCAGTCCAAATCTATTCTGCTTATTATAACGCTGAATTAATCGCTATACTTAGGAATAATTTATAAATGTTTTACATAGAAATCTGTTCCACTAATAAGGTCTGCTGACAATGACTAGCAAGGGGAACAACAAGCTAATGGGAGGAATCTCGGCAGAGGCAGGATTGATATACTGCATGATGGGACTTATGGAAAAAAAACACTTTAATTTACTCATTTAACAACACTTATCCAAACCTTCAAACACAAGAAGAAGCATTTAACAGAGAGAGTAACAAAATAAACATAACTATACTGCATAAATGTCTCCAGGAGCCATAGTACAGCTAAAGTAAAAAAAAAAGTAAGTGCTACTTTAAGTGCAGAAGACCAGTAGTTTGTTTATTGATGGTATATTAACACAACAGATAAAATGTGCTCCACTATATCCATTCATTTCTCTCTTTCTCTAATATGCAACTGACTATTTTCTTGTGCGTTTTAACACACAGCTAACATCACACACATTAATCACTGGTGCTCTTGAATGATTTTATGTCATGAGTATTAATGTGTGCCATTATAAATGCTTGTGCATTTGCTTGTTTGTTGGCCTTAAAAATGCAGTCATTATAGTGTAGATACTGTACTTTTCAGAGCTGTTATTAATTCCAGGGTTGTCTAATGTCCTCCTTTCATTGAAAATAAAATAGGAATGAACTGAGTTTAAACAAAATGGCAAAAGTATATTTTAATTACTTTCTACAATTATACTTTCTATAACTACTAATTACTTTAAGTAAATAGTTTTTACTGTATGTATTATGGTATTGGTTTCCAATACCTTGCTATTCTAATTCAGTTTTTCTGGCACAATCTTGTGAAAATTAATTTGAATGACGTGTAGAAATAAACTTTGCTTGTTATTTTATAACCATTTGGTTGAGTCCTGACAGTTTGTGGAGCAACAATTCTGCTCTTGATTTGAATAAATACACAAGGTCATTGAAAAGGATTTTCTTTTTGGAACAACCTCTCCGGCTGTTGTTCACCCTAGGCAATAAGCAACTCTGGGATTTCAGCCACCACTCTCTGCTGGCACTTTAACTGTTTGATCACTGGGAACCTCGAGTAATGCATATAAGAAAAAGCATTAACAAAATGATACTCCAGTGTTTCCTCTAGGATTTTTTCCACCAGTGGAGGCAGCCTTTTTTTTTTTACGCAGATCTACCGACTACCTGTGGCGTTATTATTTCAATGACAAATTTCTTAAGCGCAGTATTAGAAGTCGGGATCACAATTATGTAATAGCCTACGAGCATGCGAATCTCTGTGCTTGCGCGCCGATTTCCTCTGCTCGTGCACAAAACTTCTTGCACGCCACCTCAAATATAAGCTGCTTCAAGAGCGTGCAGATCTTCATGTGCGCTCTCAAACAAACACTGCTGGGTGCGATTTAGTGTGTTTATGTAACGAGTATGTCTCCAGCATTTATTAGATTTGCTGGGAATATTTATGAATGTCTCCAATAGTCCTACAGAGTAGCATTAATGCGTCCTTAAGTAAAGTGAAACAGCTATAAACTCCAGCAAGATAAAGTCATTGTTTGCAGAGCTCTAGACCTTTATCTAGAAAGTATACTTATGGAAACTGTGTTCATCTTAACTAAAAGCTACGTCGTGTTTGCTGACCTCACGCATCACGCACCTGTTAGCCAGTCAGCATGTCACCTTAAAAGGTAAACAAATGACGCAAAGCACTACTACGGTTACAGAAAAGTTTGTGCTATTATAATTCACTTACCCTTTAAAACGTTTTGGTGCAATTATTACCCGCGATAAAAAATAAAATGTTTTGAATGAGAAATTTGTAATGTAGCCGTGGGGGGATGAATTTTGGCGTGGCGCCCTGCCATGGAAGAATGAATGTAGCGGAAACCATGTACTCCTCCTTTTTTGTCATGCGATTGATGTGGCTGCATATGATGCAAACCGTGTTGTATCCAAGGACCCGACGGCTACAAATCAACACAATTGTATGGAAAATAATTTTTTCCCTTCAGACCAATCAAACCTCACTTCAAGTTCACAACCATTTACATTGGTCAGCACTATCACTTATTCACAGATCATTAAATAATACCACACACACACACATCCAGAAAACCAAAATTTCAACCACTGAAATTCTGAAAATCATTCTCTTCGTCTGTCTGTTTATGACATGGACAAGTAGCTGTGTGAGAGATTCATGTTTATTCTTCGTTGTTGTAATTATATCAGAAAGTATGGCTTTATGCTCTGATTATTAACATCTGTGTGTTTGTATAATTTACTGGAAACCAGCTCATCAGTAATGTCTCATGGCCCTTTGCAAAAGAAGAGAAATTAAGAAAAGGGAAAGGCTTCTTCCTTTCAAAAAACGAATCCATTCTCTCCTTCCTCTTGCCTGTCCTACTTTCTCCCACTTGCCCTATTGATCTGGCAGTCAAACCGTTTACTCTGTTAATCATGGGCATTTGTTTCTGCCTATATGAGAAATGTTCTGCTTGCCTTTTTTGATATATTGTTTGTAAGTTGATCCTAGTGAATCTTTAAGACTGACCACAGTAATGATCATAACAGCACACTGCCCACTTGTCTGACTAATGTCTGGCCCCTTTAGTCAGAAAACGCACACGCACATGCCCATAGCAACAGCATCTGGATGAAATTTAAAACTTCAGTGTAGTCATTGGATGTGTCAAACTTTAGTCCTTAAAATATAATCTTCCAGATGGTGAGAGAGTGTAAACATGCCCTGACTGATGGTTGTTTATGTTTTGCGTCTATGTTTCAGATCCAGCCATATGACAAGATCAAGGCGAAGGGTCTACCTGACAACATAGCAGACAGTCTGAATAAGCTGGTGGTGGTGAAGCTGAATGGAGGTCTGGGAACCAGCATGGGCTGCAAAGGGCCCAAGAGCCTCATTAGTGTCCGCAACGAAAACACTTTCTTGGACCTAACTGTTCAACAGATCGAGGTTTGTTATATGATACTGAAATGTATAAATTCAGGTTATACAGTAGGTCTGTAATATATCAGTTGTTCAGAAGGGGCTATAGTGGCACTGCTAACTAGCCAACTGCCCCAATGGTTTGTCTAAATTCTTTGTTGATTTCCTCCATACATAAACTGTACTTTATAACAATGTCTGCATTTTGTTTTTAAAATACACATCATAACAATTATTTTATTTCATTGCACATTTTGCTAGATAATATAATTTAAATGTCATTCAGATGATTTAATCCATAAAGGATACACATTCGATTATTGTCTCTTTAAATGAATCTCAAATAAGAGAGCTTTTTAGATGTGGAATATAAATCAGTCCAGCTGTGGAAAACACAGCAGCTGTCTCAGACATTTGAAAAGTGAGCAAATAGACCTCCACCCAAAGGTCTTAAATCACAAACATATGCTCCTCTGTCTTTCCCTTTTCTTGCTCTCCTCATCCACAGCTGTAAAACACAGGCACATTCCTTTATTTATACAGAGCGAGCATTTCAAACCAGCAGCAACAGGATCTGTGCTAGTCATTTTCTCAGTGCCATGGACTGAAAGATAGGTAGTGAGCATGAAAGAGAACTTTGGGTGAAACCAAAACAGAGAAGGCTGTGTTCTGGGCAAGAGGGGAAAAAAGATAGGACCAAATACTGAGCCCTGTGGGACGCCCTTGCTGAAGAACACTCAGCTCACTGTCTCTTCGTCAGACTGTTTACCTGCTTTATGTTGTCAGATATCCCACTCACTGAATAAGGCACATTAGTACATGTAAATGGGTAATCTGTACTTCTCCCACAGAAATACAGTCTGGCGTTTTCCTGCTTGGCAGGCCTTTTAGCAAGCCCTTAGGCCAATTTATACCAGTTGGCTAGGATTTATGGATACACATTCATTACAGAAAACTGACCTAAAATATAACACATCTAGAAGTTAGTAAAAGAGGATGCTTTACAAAAAGTGTACACTCTCCAAGATCATGGAAACCAATGTTTTAAGACAATGAGGATTATGTTTGTTAGTTTTACAGCACTGTGTTCAGTACTGTTTGTTGTTTGCTTATGTCATTTGATAGGGCGATTGATAGGCTTGTCACACCTAATAAGATAGGGAGAAATATTTGTGTTTGTTTGTTTTGTATTTTAAATAATGACTCATCATGGAGAATGGGCAATTAGTCATGTCATGGACAATTAGCCATGTCATGGACAATTAGCCTTTTTAGCAAATCTGTCTTAACTTTTTTTTTCTAACATTATTACAGTAAAAACTGGTGTTCAAGACTGACATTTTGGTCCAAAATTAAGTCTTTCTGTGTTTATTGTAGCCCTGTTGATATGTTCAGTTCTGTTCTGACTAATTATTGACCATTTCATTATGCCAGTCTTAACAGCAGAAATTAGATAGGAGAAATGTCTACATCCATCTGAGACAGTGTTTTATCAGCTTGACTCTAGTGTTAAAGATCACAAATTTACAACATCGCTGTCTAAACAATTACCTCTGATAATCTTAGTTATCTAGAGCTAAATCTTACAGCTAAAACAGAATATGCTGCTGAATTTGATGAACCTGCCATAGTGTCTCAGCCCCTTTGAACCTTTCAGACCAATCAGTCTGTCTAAAGTCATGGCATTGATAAAACTGTAGCTTCACACTTCACGGTCACTGTCAAGTGGCTTAGAATGTTAGAAGATAAATCTTGAGTTAACCTGCTTGATAAAATGTCATATTTTTTCCTTTTGTCTCTTCAGCACTTAAATAAAACGTATAACGCTGATGTTCCATTGGTGCTCATGAACTCTTTCAATACGGATGAAGATACCAAGAAGATCCTACAGAAGTACACGCACCACAGAGTTAAGATACACACTTTCAACCAGAGCAGGTATTTTCCCCCACACACGTACAAACACACTTATTAACCTGACATTAAAAAGGCAAACATTTTTACATAACTATAATTGATACAAACCTGTACCTGAAACTGCATCTTTTTCATTTTTTAATTTAAGAGAGCCCCAAACTAAGGTTTATCTGACTTTCTGTAGTAACTATTCTGAGAATAGCTAAGTAAACACTTAAACCACAGATATCTATGTATAACGTTTACATAATTTGAGCTGAATATAACACTCAGCTGATGACACATTGCATGAGCACACACATCTAAACAAAGACATATTTTGTAATTGGTACAGAACCCCCTGCCCAAAAGTGTTATTTCTTCACTTTTATGTGTGCTGCTTACCCTTAAGCTGGAAACACTTAAGTTTTGTCAAAACAAGTTAAAGATTGATGAGGTTTCTAAGCAATAATGGGGATATGTTAATATTTGATGAGCTCGTCAGAGCAGAGATTTTTCTCAAAGCTTACAACAGACACTTGTGGGATATGGTTACATGTGTTATTCAGAACACATCACTAAAAGACGGCACATTCAGACCCAGTTGAAGCTTGTGAAAGAGACAATATGATAAAAGAATGAGGAGGAGGATGAAGGCTGCACAGAAATGTTAGATGTTTTGCCTGGCTTCATGTGACCTTAATAAGCCTGAAATGCAGGAGTGAGAAAAGATTTTAGAGTCCATCTGAAAACATATTTACATAAAAAGTAAAAAGTTTTGCCAATACACAAGGCTTAAAGTTTTTTTTTTTCTTATTTTCTGAAATTAAAGAATGCCAATATGATAATAATTTCTATATTATCAACTTTTTAATGTTAATTAATTATTTGATTTTATTTCATTAGTATTTCAGTTTATTTCTCACTTTTGTTTTGAAAAAAAAAAACTTGTCTTTTCCTCCTTTTAGGATTGCAACATAAACATCTTAATTTTTAATCAGTTGCTAAGGAAGCATTCTAATTTCCACTCGTTTAGTTTATCATTTAACATTTCATTTTATTTCAGCTTAATTTTATTTACCAAATGTAGTTCCTAAAAGTTTTAGTTAATAACATAATAATAACAGAGACAATTGTAAATGTAACCCAGTTTTACTATTCTATATTAGGAATCTCAAACTTTTTGTTTCCTAATTTTTCCAGGTATCCACGAATAAATAAGGAGTCTTTGTTGCCAGTTGCTAAGGACATGGGTATGACAGGAGAGAATGGAGATGTGTGGTATCCTCCTGGACACGGTGACATTTATGCCAGCTTTTATAACTCTGGTCTGTTGGAGCAGCTCATCGCAGAAGGGAAAGAATACATTTTTGTATCCAACATTGATAACCTGGGTGCAACAGTAGATCTGTATATACTCAACCATCTTGTGAGCCAGCCCAATGGCAAACGCTGTGAGTTCATCATGGAGGTCACAGACAAGACTAGAGCTGATGTAAAGGTGAGAGGATTTTTTTTTAATACAGTAATGTCAATAAAATAAACAATATAGCTAAAAAAAAACAATATTGAAATCCGTTTAAAATCAAAATTTACAATGTATATTTAGCTAGATCACATTGTTATTTTTAAGATAAATAATAAAACCAGGGCAAGGCAGTGGCACAGTAGGTAGTGCTGTCGCCTCACAGCAAGAAGGTCGCTGGGTCGCTGGTTCGTACCTCGGCTCAGTTGGTGTTTCTGTGTGGAGTTTGCATGTTATCCGTGCCTTTGCGTGGGTTTCCTCCGGGTGCTCCGGTTTCCCCCGCAGTCCAAAGACATGCGGTACAGGTGAAATTGAAAGGTAGGCTAAATTGTCCATAGTGTATGAGTGTGTGTGTGGATGTTTCCCAGAGATGGAAGGGCATCCGCTGCGTGAAAACTAGCTGGATAAGTTGCCGGTTCATTCCGCTGTGGTGACCCCGGATTAATAAAGGGACTAAGCCGACAAGAAAATGAATGAATAATAAAACCATACAATTGAAAAAAATTTGTTTGTTTTGAGAGTTTTCAATCAAAGTCTGTTTGCGATTTAGGTAATGATATGTAAAAGAAAGCCCCACCGCCTACTCAGTATTCAGTTTCAGTTGAAATGGCCAGTTTCAATCAACTCACTGGAAGAATTTTATCTGACCTTACACCCTTATCTAAAAAATTTCTAAGTTTAAATCAATGATAGTGTTTTAAAAATTATTCTCATACATACTAGTTGCAAGAAGTTAAATTAAAGATAAAAGATGTTAAAGCCAGAAGTAAACAAGGTCACTCCATAATTACTAATTGTCATCCACATACTGTATATATTTATCCTTTTATTCAATTCAACTTAGACTGCAATGAAGGTACACATTTATCACTTCTTTCCTGGCCTTCGTAGTGTGATGTTCTTCTTTTATGTCTAGGTTAATCCATTTACTTGGATACAAAAATAAATCTGGTGATGAATATAAATATATGCAATGTATTTGTGGAAAACAAGATTTATGTGTGTTGCACTCTCACTGAATGTTGTACATTTGTGTTGCAGGGAGGTACGCTCATTCAGTATGATGGTAAGCTTCGGTTACTGGAGATTGCCCAAGTTCCCAAGGCTCATGTAGATGAATTCAAATCAGTGACCAAGTTTAAGATATTCAACACCAACAATCTGTGGATCTCTCTATCTGCCATAAAGAGACTACAGGAACAGAATGCCATGGACATGGAAATTATAGTCAACCCTAAGGTAGGAAAACTTGAGAACAGAAATCACAACTTGTGTGGAAAAAACAGGACATATCACAAGACTTCATATAAACCTTCATTAGTGAGGTGTAATTGAAAAAAAAATTAGCTTCGCACAATGAGTGTTGCCTTACTGATCTTTTATTATACCACGCTGTAAATGCTCCTACACACAGTTTTTCTATATCTATTCTATTTCATATTAAAAGCTGCTGCTGATTGCAGTTGATACCAAAATATCTTTATCTAACAGAAAGTGCAGCAAAATAGTTTGAGCGCCTATTCCTGACAAGCAGACATGTATGATATTTGGTTGAAGCTGTAAAAAACCTGACGGCATGCGCGATCACCTTTACAGAACAATACTAGCAGAGTGCAGTGCATATCTGTGATCTTCCGGGAGAGGTGGAATGTCTGGCTTTGTCCACTACATTTCTTTCATCATCACTATATTTTACTGGGAATCAAAGTGCTCCAATACATGCGATTTTGAATGAAGTGGGAGGCTTTTCAAGTTCCTCTGCTAGCCGTTGTTGTTGACTGATTAACATGCGCTATTCACATGAACACAACTTCTCTGTGTAATTAATTACTTGAAGCAATTTTGGCAGAACAAAGTGTATTTTTGTGTGATTAATCTGTGGGTCATGTGCAACCAAACTGTAGGGCGGATCACAGATCAACTGAAAACTGTTGAACACCTATTTACAAGTCATGCCTCAGTTATACTAACAACAACAAACAAAACATCTGCATACTGTAGGGCTGTGCAATTAATCAAAAATACAGTTTCGATTTCAATTTTGGCTTCAAGCGAATATGAAAAACCATTAATTGAAATAAACGATTATTGCATCATATACCGCCCCTTTCCAGTTTTACACATTTGTTGCTCTTCAAAGCTCAGCTTCACATGAAAAGGACTAAAAGCAATTACTGTTATGTAACTTTTGCTGCACGGGATGCGCATCTTTCATTGACATACATTCGAATCATGTTTTTAAAAGCGCGAACGAGAACGCATGCTTCTGGGTGTGTGCGCCGCAAACACAGCATGCGGTCAGCATTCATACACTGAGACGAGCAGAGCACACACATCTAAAGTCATCTTAACACGAGCGCTTTAATTGTCAAATAGGTGTCAAAACGCAGTGCTTAGTGATTATTCATATTAACCCTCATTTGTGTAATAAACGAGTTGAGAATCAAAAGACACGTGAAAGAGAAACCATTAAAGTGACAGCACATAATATTCCTGCTGCCGCCTGTTTTTATCGTTATTAATCAAACAACAAAAGGAGAAAATCCCTCACTGCTCTTGACTGAAGGACTTTTGTAGCTAAATTGTTTTTTCTGACAGTGAAGATGCTTAAAGAACAGTTTGTTTCATATTTTTATTCTATTGTATTTATTTCTCTTTCCTTTGCAGGGAGGAAAGCTGAAGTTGCAGTTGAAGTCAAAATTATTAGCCCTCCTGAATTAATAGCGACCCTTTCCCCCCAATTTCTGTTTAATGGAAAATATTTTTTTCAACCCATTTCTAAACGTAATAGTTTTAATAAGTAATTTCTAATAACTGATTTATTTTATCTTTGCTATGATGACAATAAATTATATTTTACTAGATATTTTTCAAAATACAAGCATTCAGATTCAAAGTTCAATTCAAAGACTTAATTAGTGTAATCAGGCAAGTCATTGTATAACAGTAGTTTCTTCTGCAGACAACCAAAAATATATATTGTTTAAGGGGGCTAATAATATTGACCTTAAAATAGGTTTCAAAATATTTAAACCTGCTTTTATTCTAGCCAAAATAAAACAAATAAATACATTTTTAAAAATATTATAGGAAATACAGTTAAAATTTCTTGCTGTTAAACATCATTTGGAAAATATTTAATTTTTAAAAATTGACTTTAACTGATAATCGTTTTGAATAATCATGATTACAATTATGACCAAAATAATCATGATTATGATTTTTCCCAAAATCAAGCAGCCCTAGCATACTGTTAAAGCCATGTCAGTTTAAACGTCTGATATAGATCATTTTGAGGGATGTAAACAATGGTCCCTCCAAACATATTTCCTGTTTTACATTTTTAATTTCTTTAGCTTCTGAGAATTCAAAAACCCACATATTCATAAATAATGTTATGATAGCTGTTTTAACATTAAGTTATGATTGAATTGCCTCTTGTTAAAGTTATGAAATAGTTTGATAACAAGCAGGAAATGTTCATGGGCTAATGACATCCCCACAGTGAAATGGTTTTTACCAAGATTTTACCAAGAAGGGAGTGCAAACAGAATGCCAGCTGTCAGGTGTTGTGTTGCATAAAGACTAAGTACTGTTTTGCGTCTACTGTCAGATGCACACAAAGTCAAAAATACAAGTTCACAGAATCTTGATCATGTCATTGTAAACAGAGGAAAATCCCAGCATCTTGGACATTTCAAAAACACACTACTAACACAACTCAACAAAGCATCATTTCCTTTGAATACTTTGACAGACTATAACAAAACATTAGACTATAATTAAGGCATGTAAGGTTAAAGGGCTTTCTTACTTTTACAGATAATTCCATTTGGAGTGGACTTTGTACTCTAAAAACATTTTCATGCTCAAACATCAACAATACACACAGAAAAACACAATATCACTTCTTTAAAATGGTTTGAAAGTATCTCCCCTTAAGCATCTTAGAAATTTCAAAACCATTTCAAAAACATTTTTAAAAAATTGTTTCCTTAAAACTGGACTAGTCATACGGGAAACCAGACATTCGTCAGTTTCTTAAGAAAAGAATTTTGTTTCCTGGATTAATCAAAATGAATCCTCTTCATTTTATTGTGAAGCACTATTTTTAGATGTGCAAAATGTATTTCTCTGTACTTTTTTATTTATTATACCTTAACCACCGAAGCCATATATTGTGAATGATTTTTTTTAGCAGTAATAATTAATTCTAATAGAAATAATTTGATAGTTCATGGCTTTAAAGTGTGATCATTGGGTTTTGCTGTAAACAGTATAAACCATAAATCATTATACTGCAAATCATTTCTCTTGGGTTTTCTGTTCTCAGTCCATCACAGGCGACTAAAGAAATGAAAGGTAACCATAAGATGTGAGATGTGTTTGCTTGTGTGTCAGTATAAAAGTTCCTTTTGAGGACATTCAAGGGCATCCTTAATTGGAAAAACTCTTGATATGTAGCATAAAATAGCTATTTTCCAATTTACACTGTGCCCAACAAACCTATGCAATATAGCATTTCCAATTTCCAAGTTAATTTGTCTGCACACACAAAGCTGTTTATGATAGTGTAGAATAGCATGTCCTCATTTAGATAGCTGAGTATGTGTGCGTGTTTGCAAAGTAGTACAGTCCAGCAGAGCTTAATATTGTACACTGTTTCTCTCCCTAAGGCCCAGGCTCTCATCCAGCAAGACATATTAAACTTAAATTTAAGCTTGTTCTAGATTTATTGTCTTTCAGTCCCTCCTGTTCCTTAGCCTAGGCCATTTTTACAATGCAAGCAGTTTCGCTTCTTACTTCACCAACATCACATTTAACATGTCAATTTTTTAACTCCATTTCCGATAAAACTTTACTCCTCTTTGGAGACTTCTCCAAACATTTAGTCTGCTTAAGCACTGCCCCTTTCTCAATCAAATACAAACTGACAATTAGATCCAATCAACAAATGTTGGATTGAACCAAGTCCTCTTTCAGTCTGAATTTACTTTCATTTATTCTTTGAGCAGATGGTTTTATCCAAACTGATTTACAAATAAGAACATGGAAGCACTTAAAAAAATCATCGCTATTTTCATTAAAGTGCAAAATTTTTGGATTTTGAGAAATGATATTATTTTAAAAGTGCCCTTATTTAGCTTTTATTGAATGTTACCTTTTATGCAGTGTAAAATGTAAACCATCTGCAAGCTCAAAGTACACACAACAAATGAAATGGTTTCCTAAAAGAAGGAAATGATTCTTGTGAACCGCTGAAACAACTAATCAACAATTCCAGTTTCACATCCATAACTAATCTACATTGATCCGTTACAGTTTTGCGCGATGTCAGCTATGGTCTTTTCATTGAAATTTGGTGAAGTACGAATGTGCACTGAAAATGTGAAGTATAAATATTCCACATAGTTGCTGGAAAATGTTTCAAAGGTTTTCCTTTTTCTCAGACAATAGACGGGGGATTGAATGTTATTCAGCTGGAGACCGCAGTGGGTGCTGCCATCAAGTGCTTTGATAACGCCTTGGGCATCAACGTCCCACGCAGCCGTTTTCTGCCTGTCAAAACCACATCTGACCTCCTGCTGGTTATGTCCAACCTGTACAGCCTAGATGCAGGGTCTCTCACCATGAGCGAGAAACGAGAGTTCCCCACAACTCCTCACGTCAAACTGGGCAGCTCCTTCACCAAGGTACCTTGCCTAATGAAGCATTCACAACAAATGATCCATTCAGAACGCATGGTGTTCTTGCACTGTATACTTTAAAGGCATGATCTCTCAACATTTCTAAATCAAGACAGCCATTAAAATTCAAAACTTTTGTTCTTCTAAAGAACAGTCATCCACCAATCAAACATTTAGTTCACCTTAATCTAATTCCCTCTATTTTTCAGGTTCAAGAATATATCACACGCTTTGAGAGCATTCCTGACATGCTGGAGCTGGATCACTTGACAGTGTCTGGTGATGTGACTTTTGGAAAGCATGTTTCTCTGAAGGTAAAAAAACAGTCAAGGTCTTATGAGACAGATTCTGCAATGAAGATATTTTGTTGGAAGTTAAAGAGTTTTCTAATTCCTCTGTCATTTCCAGGGAACCGTTATCATTATAGCGAACCATGGAGATCGAATTGACATTCCAGCTGGCTCTATGTTAGAAAATAAGATAGTGTCCGGAAACCTTCGGATCCTGGACCACTGATGCATTTGTGTAGAATGACCTGGATAAAGAATCATATGACAGACCCACACCTGCCACTGTCCATATCCTGACCACGGCCACAAAATCAACATTCCAGTCCATTCCATGATGGAAAATAAGTGTTTGGGAATCTGCAAATCCTAGAGCACCGACATTTCTATGTCAAGAGACCTAGATGCTGAATCACTTGACCAACCAACACCTTCCACTCTCAGAGCCGCTATCAGAGGTGCTGATCTCAGCACCAGTGATCCCATTTCAGAGACATTTATTTTTTTGAAGTAGCTTGTGTTTCTTTGTTTGTTTTCTGTCCCTTATTGTTTCTCAAATGTAATGTACGTCACAAATCTCATTGTTTTGTTTTAGTTTTTTTACTCTGAGAATGCAGTATTTTTCTCTTGTCGTACCTATGGAATCACGAACTGACCTTGCAGCGTCTGTGTCCTACATGCTGAAAAATGTGAAAGGAGTGCAAAGCAATAAGTGTTGTGTGACAGTGAAGGCTGACGGTTCCGTCTTTTTTTCTAGAACATGTTCTAGATCCTAAAAATTCTATGGAACTAAATAAAGTGCAATATGGAACAAGAAGAACACCTACGGCTGAGGTTTTCCTTACTGCACAGAGGGACTAGCGAGAAGTTCCTTAGAACCACATCTATTTGTTAGTACAGCAAATAATGAGCAGAAGTAAAAAAATAAATAAATAAATAAAATAAAACAGGTACATGTATGTGCACAAGTAGGTGGGAAAGAACGTTTAAAAAGGGTCTAGCAGCAGAGTACGAGGGCTGTACTGAAAGTCTCCCAGACTCCCTGGAGGCAGGAGGTTATTGTGTTCTACTGGTCTGTTAATGTGAAAGCAGCCAAGCATTAAACTCGCTTTTAATAACCAGCACACGGAACAAGACACACACACACACACACACAGTGGTGATCAAAGAAGGCCTGAGATTGTTGTCACAGCCAGGCAATCGCCTTCAGCTTTTGACAAAATGTGAAACTACAAACGGTACAAATCTATGTGGCCAAAAATTATGCACTGACATTAAAATTCTGGTTGATCGTTATCTTTATGTTTTTGGTGATGATACTTTGTCTAAATACACTGAAAAGAAATCATTTTGAAAAATATTTAAAATGCTTGTTAATTTATGCACCAGAACATATACTGTCATATAATCGATAATCAGATTTACTTATCAGTAATAACTGATAAGTATTTTTACAGCTTAACTTTTAGGGGTGTGTTAGATGTTTGTCCAAAAACATTATGTAAACAATTAAAATACTGTAGTATTTACAACAACCAGAGGTCCAGGAAGAACAATCAACTCGTAGTACTGGAAGTTGACAATGTTTTTGCTTTCCAATAAGGAAAAAAAGCCGGCCCCAGTGGCTTCAGCATGCTATCTCTCAGAAACCATGGCATACCTAATACATAGTGAAGATTGGCTTGATAGTAAGGCTGAACAATATATCGCTTGAGAATCGATATCGCAATGTGTGTATCTGCAATGGTCACATTGGAGAATTACATTTGTTGTTAAAGATAAAAGAAGATAAAGATATTATACATTTTTTACTATTATTTACACAATGATGACCATGTTATTTTACATTTGATTGTTCAATTTCTGTATTTGAATACTGTTATACTCTCAAGCAAACTATAAAGCAAAACTATTTTGCTCTATACGCTTGTAATTTATTATAATTTATGCAGACACACTTCATAGAAAAAGACTGGATCATCCCAGTTGATCAAAATGAATGAAATCTCACCAAATAGAGCTATTTAGTCTGGTGAACTTATACTCGCATCATAAAATATATATCGCAGCGAAACAAAATATTGCAATGTCACATTTTTCTAGATCTGTTCTAATTCATAATGAACACAGGAATAAATGTGTTTTAATTCAAAACCTGTCCAAATTTTTAATGAATGTGGTCATAACTAAGTGAAAGAAAATAAATCCCAAATAAAGCTTTGGGTTAATGTACATGTAGGTTATAGTTATAACAGTTCAGTTTCTTAATTTGCAGAACCACACTTCAAATTAAATGTTGTTTTGTTGCACACTAATACTGTCACAAGATTAGCTCATTTAGAAATGAAAACAGGAAACAGGTCTGACACATCCTGTTCTGAAACGATGACCCCAGCGGTTTGTTGTTGTTATTAGTAGTTATTTGAGGTTTGTCAACCAGAAAACCACTTGCATCATTTGCACAGTTATTCAAATTAAATATAGTAGCTTATTCAATAGCACATATTTATTTTTATTATTTAGCCAAATTGCCACAGTTCTTCAAACATGTTACAATTAACCGGCTTAATTCATTGATTCATTCATTTTCTTTTCAGCTTAGTCCCTTTAGTAATCTTGGGTCACCACAGCAGAATGAACCGCTAACTTATCCAGCATATGTTTTACACAGCGGATGCACTTCCACCTGCAACCTATTACTGGGAAACATCCACACACAATCATTCACACACATACACTACTTCAGTTTAGCTTACCCAATTCACCTATACCGCATGGACCTTGGGGGAAACTGGAGCACCCAGAGGAAACCCACGCGAACATGGGGAATACATGCAAACTCAACACAGATATGCCAACTGACCCAGCCAAGGCTCGAACCAGCAAACTTCTTGCTGTAAGGCGATTGTGCTGGTTCACAAATGATCTTTTTTAAATGTGCATTTATAATATGAATTTTCCATTAATTAACTTCCATTAATTAACAGCTACAAACTTTGAAGTAAAAAGTCAATAGTAAAAGACCATAAAACATTGTACAAAAACAATAAATAAACAAACAATATATTTGTAAATATATGTACATTTTGTAAATATTCATTCATTCATTTTCCGTTGGCTTAGTCCCTTTATTCAGGGTTTCTGGAGGTTTCATATAGTGAAATGTAAGACTTTTTAAGACCCCTTTTAAGACCTTTAAGAATGAAATTTTAGACTTATACATTAGAATTTGTTTCTAATGACCCAATTATGAGGACTTATACAATGATTTTTCTTTTTCTTTACCTAATTTAATGAGGAATTTGTTGTAAAATGTTTATAAGGAGTTGTGAATTGTATCTGTTTGCAATAAAAAAACTTAAATATAAAGAATAAGGTTTTATTGAGATCGATTGTTGGCGATTGGATAGATGTCGGCCTGATTGAGTAGTTTTATTTGGACAAAATAAAGACCTGGCTAAATCGTTTAAGGACTACAACACAATATTACAGTGAATTTAAGACTTTTTAAGGCCTAAAATATAGTTTTTGAAATTTAAGACTTTTTAGGACCCAGTGGACACCCTGTTTATTCATCAGGGGTTGCCACAGAGGAATGAACCGCCAACTTATCCAGCACATGTTTTACACAGCGGATGCCTCTCCAGCTGCAACCCAGTACTGGGAAACACCCGTACACCCTCACATGCGCACGCATACACTACAGACAATTTTGCTTATTCAATTCACCTAAAGCTCATGTCTTTGGACTGTGTGGGAAATCGGAACTCCCGAAAAAAAAAAAAACAGACAAACACGGGGAGAACATGCAAACTCTAAACAGAGATGCAAAGTGACCCAGCCGGAACTCAAACCAGCGACCTTCTTGCTGTGAGATGACAGTGCTAACCGTTGAGCCACCGTGTTGCCCCCTTTTGTGAATGTATTGTGAACAAAATATGTGATGAATTTTGTTGTAATGACAGTGATGGGCTATTATTTTTGATACTGACATGTAAATGCGTCTACCACAAACCACGCATCAAATAAAAATCACAAAAACATCCTAATACACATGCCACTGTGCACAATCCATTTCACTACTCCAACAATAACAATCTGGCTGAAATCAATATGCGTTTCAGCTGAAACACACACAGTTAACTCAGCATGAGGCTCTTGTGGTGTTGTTTCAGGTCAATAATGAGGGTTATGGGGACTATTAACCTCAAATGCCATGCTGACACACCGTTTTTTGTTTTAGCAGCTCATATAAAAGCAGAAAGAAAAAAAGCCGAAAAGATCAGAGTAAAGATGATTAAGTGGACTCAGAAAGTGGAAAGAAACTGACTTCAATCAAAAAGCTTGGTATTTGAAAATAAATCAGAAATAAATCACCTCAATAACTACAGGTGATTAGTGAAACAAGGCTGAGGGAAGTTTGAAAAGGGTTTAGACAGACATCCGTGTTTCAATCGGTTTGGGTTTGTCTACATTGGCCCAATAAACTGAATTTATAACATAATGAAGTTTTTGATGTGTTTTTAATCTTATTTTATGGGTTGTCTTGTAAGTAGCACAAGGATTTGGGTTGTACTCACATCTGTGTTGATCCATCACACACACTCTGCTGTTATAGTACTGTATCCCTGAAGGATGTCACGTGACTTGATTTTGGCTGCTGTCCTCATTCTGCTGACAGAGAGGCCACTTATGTAAGTACAGACCCTTCAAAAGTGAAAACACACACAAAAAAGGCTCTTTGGTGAGAAATGCGAACCTAGCTCTGCTATCCCAGACTTTCTTCACATGTTCTGACTCGACATATTGCAGTGCCAGAAAATGTGCCAGCTGAACTTGGAGCCTAACAATCCCTAAAGGTTTGAGGTGAAAATACTAAAATGAAGTCTTCTGGCAGACAAATCTTTTACATGTTATTATAGGAAGTCATATGCAGGATTGTAGTGGTTTCATCTAAATAAACATCTTTAAAAAGACAAAACAAAAACTACATTATGCTGCCACCTTGAGGCCATTTCTCTTTAATGGCAATGTGAAGAACTGAACTAACGATAAACGGTGGAAAATTACAAAATTAGTTCACAAACAAAACCACTGGAGCTGGATAACGTAGACTTGGGGTAGTTTTTGTCTCGTTTTTTAACATTACGACAGCAACAAACATGCTTTCTTTCAGTATTCCCATCTCTCTAAACCAGTAACAGTCTATTTTCCAAATTTTTCCAGATATATAACTTTGCTGCGTTTATAACAAGAGATTTATAATGAAAAACTTACATTTAGACGATTTTGTCCATTTTTGTGGTGTATTTTAGCTCTGTCATCCAAATTAGCAGCACACAAGCCAAATCACAATTAACCATTGCGCGTCTCCGAGCAAAACAAGGTAACTTAGTGGCTTTAAGTTTGGTTTGTGAATTAATCGATGTTTTGATTGAATCAATGGTTCAATCACTAACTTGTTACGATAAAGCAAATTATAATGGTTGCCACCTAACGTTCGTTAATGGCGGAACCTCAAACAGACTGAAGTGGTTCAAACCACAGCTCTCAACGGCTCTGGTTTAAATTGTGGTGACCGCTCGACCAACCACATTCGAGCACCGGATTTTACAGTTGGCTGTTTGTTTTTGTGAACTAAACTACGTTACATGGGTAAATTTCAACCAGTCCTTTACTAGACAAAGCTTGTTACAAGCAAACACTTTAGTGCTCCTGTTATAGAACTTATTTCGTTACGATGGTCATTTCTCAACCTTTTTGAATTCAAGGCCTCCTATATGCAATAAACTATTCTAAAAAAAGTTTCAATGATATTGGCA